AATGAAAAGAGGGAGGGACGGAGGTAGAGAGAGAGAGAGAGAGAGAGAGAGAGAGAGAGGAGAGAGAGAGAGAGAGAGAGAGAGAGAGAGAGAGAGAGAGAGAGAGAGAGAGAGAGGGGAGAGGGAGAGAGGGAGAGAGAGAGAGAGAGAGAGAGAGAGAGAGAGAGAGAGAGAGAGAGAGAGAGAGAGAGAGAGAGAGAGAGAGAGAGAGGGGGAGAGGGAGAGAGAGAGGGAGAGAGAGAGAAGGAGAGAGAGAGAGGGAGAGAGAGGGGGATAGGGAGGGAGGGAGGGAGAGAGGGAGAGAGAGAGAGGGAGAGAGAGAGAGGGAGAGAGACAAAGACAGAGAGAGAGACTTCAAAATTACTAAAATAACACGTTTTCAGATAACCCTGTTCTTGCCCCAAGATATCCCGTTGACCTTCAAAACATGGAAAAATAAAACTGAGCCTCTTACTGGCAACGCGAATGAGGGCCAGGTAATGACAGGCAGAAACTGACAGACACACAATGAGAAGGGACAAAATTGCTCCGGTAAACATGCAAGTAATTCATGGCAAAGAGGCACAGAAATATAGCATTTTTTTCACTCTTTCTCATCACTGCAACTCCTGTTCTGATTAATGCCCTCTATCGCCCCTTTCAACTTTCTCAGCGAATTCAACAACTGCAAACTAACCTGCTTATTGCAATATGCAAAATCACCGACATTTTTTAAGGTCAAAGTTTTCTCTCGTTTGTTAATTTCATCCAATGTCAAATTTCTTTCATAATTACAAGAGTTCAACGACGACCGCAGCATTCAGATAAGCTCACCCCCAAAAGAACAAGAAGATCGCTCTGCTAAAGAAAATTCAAGCGATAAAAAACTAAATGTCTTATGTTGGCGTAAGTGTCTCTCTGTCCAACTCTCTCTCCCTCTCTCTCTGTCAGTTATTACTACTCCTGCTTTATGCCCGTTCTCTCTCTTATGCATGTATGTATGTATGTATGTATGTATGTATGTAGGTATGTATGTATGTATGTATGCATGTATGTATGCGTGTATGTTTGTATGCGTGTATATATGTATGTGTGTATATATGTATGTGTGTATATATGCATGTGTGCATATATGTATGTGTGCATATTTGTATATATGTATATATATGTATATATGTATATATATATATAATATATAAATATATATATATATATAATATATAAATATATATATATATATATATATATATATATATATATATATATATATATATATATATATATACATGTATGTGTGTATGCTTGTATGTATGTACGTATTTATATGGATCTACACACTCACACACACACCTCTCTCTCTCTCTCTCTCTCTCTCTCTCTCTCTCTCTCTCTCTCTCTCTATATATATATATATATATATATATATATATCTCTCTATCACTCATTCATGCATACAAATACGACTTTTTTTCTCTCGTATGCAGAAATCGTGAAACTGTTGTTGAAAATAAAATAAAAAATAAAAAGGTCTTAACTCTCTTGCACTATTTTCTTCTTTCTTTTCTTTTTTTTTGAGAGTTTACCTCCTTCTGAACACTGCGTGCTTCCTTGTTCTTCAAGCGACAATGAACCCGCTCTGGAAACGCGGGCTGGGGAGAAGCCGGAGAGGGGGGGGGGCAAATCTTCTTACTGGGCAGTGCTTATTTTAATAATAATAATAATAGTAATAATAATAATAACAATAATAATAATAATAACAATAATAATAATAATAACAATAATAATATTGTTAATATTATCCTTATTATCGTTATTAATATCATTAATATCAATATTGATTTGTTACCCTTGTTATTACTATTACAATTACTATAATAATAATAATAATAATAATAATAATAATAATAATAATATCATTATCATTATAAATGTTACTATCATCACCATTATCATCATTATTACCATTATTATTACAAGTGTTACTATCATCATCATTATAATCATTATTACCATTCTTACCATCATCGTTATCGGCTTCTTCATATCAACGACCAAGAGAAAGTACAGAGAAAAACAGTAATTAGCGAAAAACATGCAGCGCGAACAAGGCCCGCTGCCTGCCTTAGCGTTCGTCCAAAGCCAGCCGCCCACTCGAACGCCCCGCGGCACACAACGACGGTAACAGCAAAGACAACAATAACAGCAAAGACAACAATAACAGCAAAGACAACAATAACAGCAAGGACAACAATAACAGCAAGGACAACAATAACAGCAAGGACAACAATAACAGCAAAGACAACAATAACAACAAAGACAACAATAACAGCAAAGGCAACAATAACAGCAGAGACAACAATAACAGCAAAGACAACAATAACAGCAAAGACAACAATAACAGCAAAGACAACAATAACAGCAAGGACAACAATAACAGCAGAGACAACAATAACAGCAGAGACAACAATAACAGCAAAGACAACAATAACAGCACAGACAACAATAACAGCAAAGACAACAATAACAGCACAGACAACAATAACAGCCCAGGACGTCGTGATATCGAATCCTGGGTAACGCGGTGTTGTCACGGAAAAGAAGAACGCGGGGGGGAGGAGAAGGAGAATAAGAATAAGGAAGAGGAGGAGAAAGCAGTGTGAACCATAGTAAGGGTGAGGGGGGGAGGCATTGTACCAAATGACTAAACTTTTGGCGTGCGAAGCCTCGTCTTGTGCGCTTCTAAGGTCACTCACTTCTTTCTTCTGCTTTTTTTTGCCTGGCTATTCTTCTTCTCTTGCTCTCCTTTATGTTCTCTGTCTCCTTGTCTGTCTTTCTGTCTCTATCATTCAAATACATACATACATACATACATACATACACAAAGACATACACATTTCCTTACGTGCACACATTTCTCCATAAGCTTATCCACATATCTATCCTCCTCTGTCTCACCCACACAATTCGTCATTCACTCAGTCATTCACTCACCCTCACTCACCCATG